GTAGCTCTTCTAGCACGGCCATACTTAGTCCACAGCTAATATCCAATGATGGCATGTAGACGCTTTGCACACATATCACGGCCAGAGTTTAGCCCTCTTTCTCCACCTTTGGACGATAGATCGATTGTGGCGCAATCCGCATGTTCGTGACGTTGTCTGAATCCAGAAAGTTGCTGGATTATCTATACAACATTGTAAATGTGATCCTTTTTTACCAGATGGAAGGAAGGACATGTCAGCATCTATCACAAAACCAAGTAATCCCTGATGACTGTCTGAAACTTACCAAGACGCCAAGGGACTGCCCATGGAGCAGTACAGCTTTGTAAAATATCCACATGTTCAACCATAAGGAGCTGCTCTTCCTTAGCCAACACACTCGGTGAAGCAGGAAGATCCATGGCTGTGTCACTGTGAGAGGATTCCGTCTCGGATCAACCATGTGACGTGTTTGGGGCTCGAACCCTGATCGTTCTTGACCAACTTCCTTGAAATGGGTGATTAGAATTCGCAAACACGATACTGTCACGATAATAAGGGTTTCCCATTCACTATGACCAGTTCAGGATCCAATGATAAGCAGAGACCTATGCATTGGGGCGATAGAATGGCTTTTAGTCGATTAGTACGCCCGTATGGCATAGGCTCTCGGAGGACAGCAATCCCGTTAATCAGCTTGCAACAGAGCCAAATATCTGTTTGTAAGTATATAAAGGCTCGCTGTTTCCGCGTCCTTTTCTCGTACCACAATGTATCCACCTTTTCACTCTCACGCCTTCCTCATTCTGGTGCTCCTGCTTCGAAAATGTTTGGCGAACAGTCTGTCCTTTATGTCGGGGACATGGTCTCTAGTACAACAAGGGTTCGTCTTTCGCCGTCAGTGATCGTTCAATAAACAAACGATGCATCTTCAGGACCACAGGCGTCAGTGCGATGCAATTGGCAGTGGTCTCTGAGACCACGGCTATCCTCTTCGACAAAATGTATGTTTTAACTTTGATCATTTCGTTGACTCAGCGTGTTTCATGACAGTGAACAAAATCCCCTCACTATCAACGGTCATGTCGCGTGGTCCTCTGAGATCAACCTGAGTACACAATTGGTCCGCGCTTTGAATCCTTCGAGCAATACATGGTGCGCTACAGGCAGCTTCCTTGGCAATGGAACTATGGTCAGCTCTGGCGGACAGCCAGTCTTCACGGACCTAGGTACTGCCTTTTGAATTTGGCATTTGGAGGAGTGGATTTGATTTGATTTCTAGGCAACGATGGTCGACAAGCACTCCGCTTCTTCACTCCCTGCTCCGACGAGTCGTGCGATATTTACGAAGATCAAGCTGTGGTCCGGTTAACCTCGGATCGTTGGTATCCTTCCTCGGTCAGTCCAGTGTCTTTCTATTGAGGCCATGGTTCAACTGATCATTGTGCTCCAGGTTCGCATCGAAGACGGTTCAATCATTATCTTCGGGTATGCACTAGTAGTTTAATGGTAACATGCTGACGAAGCTTCTCCAGCGGTTCAACCACCTTTGGCTTTATCAACAGCGATAACATCAGCAATCCTTCCTATGAGTTTTACCCGCCCAAAAACATCAATGGTCGGTGAAGCATGACAGTATCAAGTCGGTACTGAAGTCCTTCAGGTTTCAATGGACTCCAGATTCCAAGTCCATTCCTATCATCCACGCTCAATGCGAACCACTTCCCGATCATGATTCAACTTCCCGATGGGACGATCTTCGTTGCAGCGAACCAGGCCGCAATGATATTTGACTGGCGAACGAATACCGAGACTCCATTGCCTGGGATTCCGAATGGTGTTCGAGTGACGTGAGAATACTTTTCAGTCCATTGAAGGAGCGGGACTCATAGTACGACTAGCTCCCCATTCTCTGCAGGCGCAGTTCTTCTTCCGTTAACACCAGAGAACAACTATACTCCAGAAGTAATGATCTGTGGTGGCTCGACAATAGATGATACCACGATCCCTTCGGCCTTGAGCTCCCAAATCCCTGCTTCCGATCAATGTTCACGATTGATCTTAACCGCCGAAGGTATTTCTGCGGGATGGACGGTCGAGCATATGCCTCAACCAAGAATCATGAATGACTTGATTCTGATTCCCGACGGACGGGTCGTCATTATTAATGGAGCTATGACCGGTGTCGCAGGCTTCGGCGATGTCCGTATTTCTTCGTTGTTTCCAAGTTCATATTGATTTGTCTCGATAGGTGCCAGATGCGGTCGGGGCGAGTGATGCTGACAACCCAGCCTTTACGCCTGTTTTGTACGATCCAGCTGCTCCACTTGGGAGTCGTTTTAGCTCGGAGGGTATCCCAGCCTCTACGATCCCAAGACTCTATCATTCCGTCGCGAGTCTTACACCTAATGGCACGATTCTGATAGGTACATGGTGGTGATATTTTCTCTTGCAGTGGCTCAACTGTTTCCAGCTGGATCCAATCCAAATCTTGATGTGACCCTAGACGTCGAATATCCGACGGAGTACAGGCGAGTTCGGGATATCGTACGGTGTAATATTGACCTGTATAATAGGATCGAGTTGTATTCTCCGCCGTACATGAACGAGCCTCGCCCAACTTACACAGGAATTCCATCTACAGTCGACTACAAGACATTATTTGATCTTTCAGTTGACCTCCCGGAAGGTACAACCAAGGTGACAGGTACTTTTACGCTTTCAGCACGAACTCAATATTGAGAACATATGACAGTCGCGTTGATAGATCTGGGGTTTTCAACGCATGGTGTCCATATGGACCACCGATTCGTGAAGCTTTTATCCAGTCTGTCGAAGGACAAGAAGACGTTGACAGTCACCGGACCTCCGAGCGCCAGAATATATCCACCCGGACCTGGATTTCTGTACATTATCACCGATGATGGCGTCCCCAGCTTTGGCCACAAGACAATCATTGGGACTGGAGCATCGCCTCCAGTTGACCAAGGCGCTATTGATAAGTTGGTATTATCTTATCGTTGATTGAGTGGCGAGCTGATCGTCCTTTCAAGTCTTCTGAATATGACAGCACCTCAATGGGGACCGGAGAGTCGTAGCTTTTGAACGATTGATCCATGTCTATATTCGAATCATTATTGCCAAGTTGCGCTCCTTGACAGCGTCCGACTCTTTCACTGGATATGTTTCAGATCATGAGCTTCACCATACTGCCCACTTTGATGATGGAGCCCAATGCAGATATGGCGCATGACAGCTTTCCCATCTCACCGGATATTCCGGCCGCCGGTCCTGCAGCTTCACATGGCCAAGTTCGTCTTCCTGCCACTGGTAGTGCTTGGGATTGAACCAATTTGGACTGCCTCAAATGCATGGATGCCTTCGGTATCGTTGCTATTGATATGTATGATACGTATTGAACGGGAGCCGGGCCGGGCGCCGTTTCTTACAGACCACCGAGTGACCATTTCACCTCACAGTCCACTTATGTCACATACAACAAAGACTAGTTGTCTGGAGAATGGAAAGATCTTTGACAGGATGCACTGCACACATGAAATGACTGGCTGCGAGTGCTGCAGGTGACAAAAATCTTGATAGAAATTAGGTGAGCTTGATCACACAGACATATTTTTTACATGCAGGGCAACGAAATAGGTTGACTACATCAAATGAGAGAATGTTTCTCTCTTTCCTTTTTGTATTTTTACTTTATTTTATTTATTAGTATTAATTAGGCCCACAAGTCACTATTGAGCCTAATACTGGAGCCGTCCTGAGTCTCACTTGTTTCTCACCTTCAATTGGTTCTTTATGTAGGTAGTACAGTATGTCAGTGGCCTTGAGCTAACATTGTCCAACTTTCCCTGCTAAAATCAGCCTAGCAGAGAAGTGCAAAGGACAGGGCACAGGTACCATTTTATCTGGCAGACCAGGGGCTCGTATTTGCCACTTGGTGGCCTCTATCCCACTGGTTTTTGTATGCTGTTCTGTCACTACTTGGATTCCAGACTGCGATTGGGACACGAGAATGATGCAAGAGGAGAAAACAATGTGCTCAGGAGGAAGAGAAATAATTGTGTCTTTTTCCAGACAGGTCTTCTCGGTCTGGTGTTCTCTATACTGGCATCTCCAGAGCAGTGACTACTTTTTTGACTATCTTTTCTCTGTATTCCGCGTAGACTAGGATCCAGAGCAGTATTTCGAGTAGAGAATTTACCGTTTCAGCAATTTTTCAAAATTGATGGTGGTGGTCGAATCGGAGTATTGCAAATAATGTGGTCATTGCGCTTCGTATTCTGTTTACTCTTGATCTTTTCCAGATCTGCCCTCGACTTCATGCTGCTATCTCTCTGTGGACTTGCTGAAAGCTCTGGTGGCGGAACCTACCGTCTGGGGAACCTTACCTAGAGGTTCTTGAGGTTTCTATTCGTACCCGTTGTACTTGCGGCCCTATGATTGAGTTTTTTGTAGTTGAATTCCATTGGGTATTGAAAGGTCTTTGTCAAGTTCATCAGCTGCAGTCTACCGCAAAGGTGCTGACGCGCTATGCCTGTGAGCTTGCTTCAGAGAGTGGTCAATTGTGCTGGGACAACGATGGGGAGTCTCTGGGACTCCGCGCGCGACTCATCGGAAGAAACGTATACCATGTAATTTACTATTTATCTATCCAGAAGCTTACATAGTAGTGTCGTGCCGCACCATGGAGCAAATACTCACCGAAAGGTGGACTGAACGCACTACTTTGTGTCGTCCCGGGATCCATCTCGCCTTTTTGGTTCTTGAAGCATTTCCCGTCCTTCTTCTCAAAGCTGTGTATCTATCGTACGAGCATTGTAGCTTGATAGGCTTCAATATATCATGCATATATGTACCTTATCACTAGTATCTGTTGTTTAAAGGCTCACTTGAAGACTGGGAGTCCCTGGCTTGAAACTGAGGACCGAGTCGGTTCTCTGTGTTGCTCCAGTTCAAGAAGCAAAGAATACAAGCTGACCTATACAAGAAGTGCAAAAGTAACTAGCCCACCGCGAGGGTCGAACTCGCAGCCTTCAGATCGCCCGATTGACTCAATCGTGCCAACGTAAAAGTCTGACGCTCTAGCCAATTGAGCTAGGCAGGCTTATTATCATCTCAGAGCGATAGGTATACGTTGCATCTTTCATCTTGAAGCTAAGACGGACGAGTAACTCGTCCGTCTAGTTGTTGCAGTACGAAAACCAAACCAATACCTGAAATCGGCTTTGATCAAAATTTGATCCGTCGATCACTCCCGATCACCGGAGCACGTAGTCAGCGTTCTGGCTCCACGTCCCAAGTTGAGCTGGATCGGGTTTGGTCGACGTGTGGTCGAAACACGAGGACACAAACTTTTGATGCGGTGACGAGTAGAATGAGGCGATACTCGAGGTGCAGATATTATACTGAATTTCCTGCGCTAAATTCTGTCAGAGGATGGTTAGTCATCCCGTATCTCGTCATGTTCTCGGCATTCGCCGTGGACTATTTATATGTCCGATCTCCTGTATATAGCTCTTTGACCATTACATCCATGATATCGACCATCCTGGCCTAACAGGGATTGTCCTCCCTCTAACAAATTCAGTCGTCGCAATGTGTGGCAGTAGCCGCCATATCTTGGAAACAGATGTATTAAAACACCGGTAGGTATTAATGAGTATATCTGCTGTATCAACAAGGCACCACGCCTCGTCAGAAGGGATATCAGAATCATCGGAAGAGTCGGAAGAACTGGTCTGCGACGAAGCCGCGCCGACTTTCACGAACATCATAACAGGGACGCGTCTGAAACGCAGGAAACGCGGGACGCTCGATCTAAGGAATCCAATGGACTGATTATCCTTTAAATCAGAGGAGTCTTCCAGTCAGAATCCAAAAATTCATCTTCAGAATTGTTCTCATAGTCGGGGGACTCGTTGTCGGCGTCCGAGGCCGAATGATCCAAGACCTCACAAGAGGCCTCCAACGTTGGAACAGGACGGGTGCCGTATGTACGTTCCAACTCCATATCCGATGGTTCATCTGTGGTCACAGGGGCGCGAGGCCAGAACCTGGCTTTATTGCTGCGATGATATTGAGCTATGGAATATATACCAGGATTCTTGGACTCACCTTCAACCACACCTCGCGATGATCCAGCAGCAAATCCCAGACGAAAACGGATGGTGCTGGGGATCTAGGATGTCAATGACACGATGTATGAGCAAAAGAAACATTCTGACCAACACCTAGATTCGTACATGTCCCAGGAATTACGCGTGTGATGAAGTAATTATATCCATAGCAATGGAATGAATTTGCAGCGGAAGGAACGGTAGACGGTGAGGTCGAACAAGGAGTCAGGCTGCCAGGATTTCCTGGGAGGCAGAAATTTCAAGACAGCCCATTTTATTATTAGTCACAGACAACACATGTGAGTGGTGAATCATCCTTGCCTATTCAAGCACGAGTGAGCAACAATGGTGTTTCAAGGAAATAGCCGGTCAGTGCATTTACAGTACAGCATACCGCGGAATTCCATATAGAGCAGGGAATGCCATTATCTAACCTCCAATAATACGCCTGATATGTATGTATATCTTGGAACCCGAGCGCGCGAAAAATAGCGTCGTATTGCGATGTCCAAATTTGGACTTCTCGAAGCGGTTGTTTGGTCCTGATTGATACGCACGTGATGCACTCATCTCTCCCTGGTATTTCTGCAGTTGACTGAAAAATGCGCACAAGACCGTGTAGCGCTCGCCACGTTTTGGGAAATGACATTCTGATGTAGATTTTGTCGCTGCCAGCCTGATTCCTATCACCCTGGCCTCGTCGTTGGCCCCGGTGCAAATGTTCAATACGAATTTGCTGCCCAAGGAAGAAGAATGGCATTATTAGGTCTGCTGGAAATCTTCCCTCGATGGCTGGGTTGCTCATCTCCCCAAGATAACCGCTCCTTGTCATCAGGCTCATTCGCTGCAGCTGACTCGCATCGGCTGCATGGAAAATCGGCGCTACCCTATCGGTTTGTCCCTTTCTGCATCACCTTTCCCTCGTTGACAAGGTTTACGCAGTCGGTCGGAGTCTGCTGCATATACTGCTGCTCGACGTTCTGTCGAACAGGATGCAGCAAATGGGCAACCCATGGAATAAGCGATGGCGGAAATGGCGACGTAACTCTCTTCAATTGCGCTCATTTTGTTGGCTAATGCTCGTTTCAGATGCTCGTTTCATGATAAAGGGCCAGAATGCCGCATTCGACCACATCGTCGTGGCATTACACGGTTGCACGAGAAAGAGGTTATTTAGGTAGATATAGAAAGATTGGGAGCAGACGATGACCAAGGTGCGCCTTTTCCCCATGAATATACGCGCATTTTGAAGGTTTATGCTTGGAGCAGACTATATCCCGGCTCTGTCCTCATCATGATCTTTTCCGACATCTCCTTGTCCTACTCAGCAAACGTCTCTTGTCCTCGATGGCGCAAGGGCTCATATCCGGCCTATGCCGCTTCACCTTTTGCTCTTCGACTCTCCACGGGCAATGGGAGCTTCTCATCAACAGCCTGGTCCTTTTTCCAAGCACGCGCTGGTCTCTCCATCGCCCGCCAGACAGTTGCTTCAACCAACGCCGACTTTTCCCGAGCAATTTACCATTCTATCGACAATATCTTCCCATCGAGCATTCTCTGGAAGATTCAGCTTCGCTGAAGAGCTATACCAGAGCTTCCGCCTCGTCGTCCGAAAGGACTTTCGTCGTCAGAGCGGCATATAGCCAGGACCAAGCTGCCTATGTTTCACATAGAAGGGTCAAGCGACTATGCTTCGGACAGAACAACAAAGATGTCTCAGGCGCTTCAGAATATAGGATGAAAGGACAGGCGTGAGCCAAGATCTGGGCCGGTACGGGCAGCTGAGAGCGATAGAAGAGCCAAGAGAGGGAGAGAGAAGATGAGCTGGTCACCAAAGCCAGGCCGACAAACATCTTCAACATCTCCATTAACCGCCGACGTCTTCACCTTCTCGTTGTCCCGCTCGACCTTTTCTGAAAGCCCCGTTGCGGCCAGAATCCGTTGACCGACAGTTCAGCGTATCGAGCAGATCTCGACTGACGTTTGAAGATCACCTTGCCTCGCTGCTGAAGCGCTCTTCCATGTCTTCGTACCCTTGTTTCGACCATCTGTTATCCACCAGCTGATTCAGGAGAAGCAGATTTCCCTGGACATGATGTTTTACGCACGACTCGACATCTGGAAACCCTGGCAAGAAGAGAGAAGAGTCGGGGACCTGTGCACGAAATTGGGGAAAGAAAGATCAGCAAAGGAGGGCGTTGTGAAAGGCGAAGGATGACCGACTTTGGGTCAGTGCGATATGCAAAGGATGAATTAGAGATGATAGGCTACATTGGCATCGGGATCTGTTTCGAATTTTATGAATGCGCCTAAGTTGTGACGGCATGACGTGATTGGTAATTTGTCCCTGCTTGTCCCAAGTTGAAAATTTTCTTCCTAAACCATCATGTCTACCCAGCACATCTCTGTCACCACTGTCTCCGATCCAGAAATCACGCGGACGTATAAAGCTCTGGTCCCTAAAAAGGAGGAGCGCAAGGAGAATCTGGACAATCTTCCCAGTTTATGCTCGTACAGCGGGTGCAGCGCTGCAACGAGAAGGGCCCAGCTCAAGACATGTTCTCGTTGCAAGACGGTCGCTATTCATATTCCTCTGGACTTCTTTCGATACTGATACTGTTCCAGGCTCGTTATTGCTCGCCGGAGTGTCAAAAGTCGGATTGGGTTGCTCACAAGCAAGATTGTGGACCACCTCATCGTGACCTCGCGCTGAAACTGGCCGAGCGCTCCATGGCTGTCCCAAGAATCGTGGAACTCCTACGATTCATCGCGATCATCAAGCTGGATCTCGTTAAAGACCGGACAAATGCGTCGAAATTCTTTCTAAAAGTCACCTGCGACGCTCCGGTCGCGGATTTGGCCGCATATTGGCAGCGCACGTTGTCTGGAGTGGAAAAGGATCCAAATCCGCGGCTTGCATTGGGATTCTCGGTCATCGAGAAGATCTCGCGCGACGACGCACCCGAAAATGTGCGTGCATACGACTCGAAGATCCGTGGACAGGACGACGGTGATTTGCCCCTGGTGACTTGGTATTTCGTCAATGAGACCGATTCGGAGAGCGGTTCGGACCGAGTGACCATAGTTGATACCGGGCTGTGCCATGCGAAGAGCATTCCAGTCTGGCAGATGCAACGAGTCGCTGAAGGCTTGACAACCAAAATTCGTTCCGCCATACTTGGCGACTGCGAGGAGAGACTGATTGGCGCTGAAGATTTGCGAGAGTCAGTCGAGATTGGATTTTGAGCCGTGTCTAGCGCTGATCATTCTCCAGGGAGATCAATAACTTTATAAGCATGGACAAGCAGAACAAAATGCGTCTCCGTGGAGTAAGCTTCTTCATTTCTCTGTGGCATCAAGTACTCAGATATCATACAGTTCAAAACCCAAGTAGCGACCTAGGCTATATAGGCATCTTTGTCGTTCAATGATACCGATGATATTGTATTTCCTCAACGGCGTATTCTAATGCTCTCATGCGTCCCACATACATCCGTATACTGTGCCTCTTTTGTTCATTTCGAGCTAACATCGGCTTCAATTCATAATTTCGGATATTCTCTGTCTATATCTTACCCGTCAAGTCTATCTCCGAACTTGGGATATCACGAGGATCTCAAACCTGTTGGTGTTTTTCTTCAGGTACCAAAGGCCAGCGTGATACAAATTGAAACATTACGAGTAGCATATGAATAAAACTATGTATAACAAATCCAGTTTGAACGGCGCGCGCCTGTTTTTTTTGTGCGCCCATATCTCAAAATGGAAATGCGGGCCGCCTGATGACGGAATAATGTAACTACTGATGTGAACTTCAGCCGCCAAATCACATATATCAACTGATCAAGGGATGCTCAATCATACTCGAAACACCAATGCAATTTCAGCTAATTATCTCCATTGACAGTGACCATCCTGCATTTACAATTAGTTTTAGCAAGTCGACCTGTGGCCCATGGGTTAATTTGGAGGGCCAAGCCAGTAGTCG